TGTCACGCGTTTTGCTGGAAATGCAACATTATCGACAGAACCACCCAGTAACATTATTCTCACTTTTGCATAATTAGCAAGCAATGGCAACTTGGCCTTCCAGACTACGGGATGGAGAGTCATCTTTACCGTCGTCGAAGATGTAAATGAGGATAAATTTGGCTGCGGTTCTCCTACCAATAGGCGGTTTCACAAAGATTTTTTGATCCAGCTAAAGAATTACAAACAAACATGAAAATTTGGATGAAGTTGCCCCTATACCCCCTACACCCACCGCTAGCTTTGTCCCTCTTCAGTATGGAAGTGAAGGTTTTTCTGGAACATGATAGCACAGTAAAGTTGAAAAAAAGTCTGGCGCAGGATGACGCTGACCGTAAACGGCCATGTTAAAGAATTGCAAAAAATGCGTCTCCGACCATTTTCGTCCGTTAAACTGTATTTAATTGTGCGTAACAATCTAGTTTCTTTCAATTTGTGCACAAATCTCGAAGACCATCTTGGAAGAAGCTCGAAATTTATTTGATAATGCAGATTTTATCTGTTGTTAAAGAATGAGCGATGCATCTTTCAATGGCATCAGACGAAAAAGGTTGTGAAGTCACAGAATAGAAATCATTTCAATTCTGCGGTGAAATATAATGTTTTGTATTATACATGCCGATTAGACATGGTTCAATTTCTTTTCAAAAATCATCAAACAAAAAGCACCACATGTGACCAAAGTTATTATACTCATTTGTTAGCATATTGAAAACTGTCATTATGGATAAGAATCAGGTCTTTGAGCGAGAGAGCAAAGTGGCCGGGCTCTTATCTCATCAAGACATACAGATTCTGGTGCAGATACGAGCGGAACACGACCATCATCCACCTTGCGTTGCTTGACCGAAAGCATCAGGTAATTTTTTTAGCTAAATACTTCTGTATCTTCGCAACCGTTTTAGCATCCTCGAAATTAAATTCGTCTCTATCTTTCAATTGATTGTCAAGTCTGTAGCAGTTCTGTACCAAACATCAAACCAAATCCCGGATAAGACTCCGGGAAATCTACCAGTTTAAGAAAGCAGATTAGAATGCTACAGCTAGTATTTGAATGGTACACGCTGTGTGACCTTTCCATGTTCGACCAAGCACGTAACGTTGCAACAATATTATCAGCAAAGTTGACCAAAGTATTTTAATACATGCAACTGACATTCTTCGGTGTTAAAAGGGAGGAAATCTCTGCCACGCACAGCATTTCTTCGCCAGCGAACCAGCTACTGGCTTAGTCCCTTTTATACATCTAAAGCCAAAGGTGTCTTTTGAATCAACGAGAGTTAACGAACAGGGATAGTAAGAGTGCTCCATTGGAAACTCTTGACTCGCCTATCGTCTATTATTGATAGTTTCTGGGGGTGACTAGAAAGATTTAATTATTTATTTATTCAATCTTTTCGTGTTGTAATTTGTGACCCTGCCAATTTTCTTGGACATGGGCGGCGATGATCGAGCAATGATGATACCCAAAATCTTCTTAAACAGTCCTATTAGAAACTTAGTGCTGCCTAATGGTGCTGCCAGAGCGCAGCTTAATGAAACATTTCACTAAACATTTCCCTAAACTTTTGTTTTGGTGAAGCTGAGCTATCTTTAGCGAGGGTAGCAAACGTGACTGAACTTTTCAACGTTTTTTTCTTCAAAAAACGCTGCATAATCAAGTCGTAAGTTACTTTAGTCAGTGTCAACGGAACGAAATTCATACCAATTCATACTATTAGAGGGGAGGGGCTACCCATTGCATTGCTCCCCAATTAGTACAGTTTGACAATTATTTGGGGGCTCCAGACCCCTATTTCCCCGCTTCCGATGGCCGTGTAAGTGCATCGAAAATGTTGAAAAGAAAATAGCAAATTTATACAGTACATGGCAGCAGATGTAATACTTTTGATGTGTTTACTTTTCACATACAGAATCGTAACGCAAACAAATATTGATCTATCAAAAACAAATAACCCTCAATCGACTTTTAATAATGATAGGTACATCTTGTATTTCCCTTTGATGTCACTTGGTTCGTCGTATTGCAAAAGAATGTAAAAGAAAATCAGGTTAAGAAGGAGCTTTGGTATTTTGCGCTTTGTCAAGGGAACGAAGCTTTAAACATCTCCACACCCCACAAAAAATGACCACTCTGTTTTCGTATATTCATAGCTAAATCTTTGTATATAAACTTCAGTAATTTTTATTGATAAAAATGTTAGTAAAAATGAAATAGTTCCAGTGAAAGTTGAAAGTAAATATTTATAGGATGCAATCAAATCTGCACTGCTCATGGTAGTTTACGCGTCTTGGGCGAATAAAGCAAGCTAGGATTATCAATTAGCTAAAGGACTACGATTCACAACGTCAGGTCAATTAGCTAAAGGTCTACGATTCAAGGATTTGTCAACCTGTTCCAAGACGTGTCCCGTTTCTACAAACAGCATGTGGCCAAAAATGCTTTTCTTTTAGTGGGGCAAAACTATGGAATGGCCTGGACGCAAAAGCTAAATTAATAAAAAAATTCAAACAAGTAAAATGTTATCTCGAAAACTCCAGAACATAAAGGGACCCTTTTTATTCCTGGCGCTAGTTCCAGTATTTTAAATGCTTTTACTTTGTTATTCTAATCTGTTTATTTGCATATCTGTATTTTTAAATTTTAGCGTTTATCGTTTTCTTTGTACAGGGCAGCTTGGAAAGCAATTTATGTATGTAGTTGATAGCTTTACCCTGTGTAAATAATTAAAAATGAAATGAAAAATGAAATGAAATGTATCTTCCATAGCGGAAAAAGTTGTGATTTTGCAGACCCTCTCGCCCCCATTCATTGCTGATATGGCACAAATTTTGAATGGAGAGAGGAGGTTGAAATTGAACTATGTATCCTATCCGGCACATGGTCAAGTGTTTTTCTCAACAGCTGTGTCCAAAATTGTAGCCAGAAAACGCAGCTGTTTAGGAAAATTGGCAAATGTAACTCTTTTGTCGATTAAAAAACGAGTGAACAAGATTTCCGAAATGGACGACCAACAATAAATTCATTAGATATTTTGCTTCTATAGTAAAGAAAGACAAAAAGAAGACGAAGAAACACTTTTTTGAGCCGTCGATGGCAACTGAACAATAACTGTAGGCCATTTCAAGGGCACCAATGATGGGCATAAAACATGGGCACTAATGATGGGCATAAAACATGGCCACTGACTTTCGATCCATTCTGGATAAACATTTCCTAATAATTTTTACCAAGCTAAATGTTTATCGTGATCTGCGACATAGACTACACTCTTTTTATAAGAACCAGTAAATTTAAGTTCAGGCTGACTGAGGCTGGATTGTTCTTAATTTGTTCTAAAATTTATAGGGTGTAAGCAGTGCTATTGCTAGCTTTTTCGCTCTAAGGAGGTGTACAGGCCTCATTTGCAAAAAAGTGAACGAGACAGCCGTAATTCGCTGTCAAATTTGAATATTCACCGAAAAAGCACCCACACATCGCTAAAAATCCTCGATTTTGAGAAAAAACGTTGTTCAAAAATGCATTTTGCAGAAGCTCAGCCTCAGCTTGTTCTTAGTTTGTTTTTAACTTTTGATCGATTTTGTGGCTCGGGTTCTTATAAAATTGTTCTTATAAAAAAAGAATGTAGAGGCCTTTTGATGTCCAACAATGTCTGACTGCGGCCTTAGTACTAATGTTGGCACTTGTTAAACATATGGGTGAAAGTAGCAAAATGAGTTTAATTGATCAGTAAACATATTGAATGAGAATCAGTACGTTTTAGCTTTTATAGTAAGCTAGAAATATCTTCTAAAACGTCATCTGTCAAGTGATTGAATATTCCCAAGCTCTAGTCAGAGGAAAATGACAGTTTCGAAGGTAGCTCTGTTTCTAGCATTTAAGGCAAGGGGACAGCGCACCTCTTGCATTTTGAAGAAAATTTCGCCAAATTCCTTGAATTGTCTACATATTTCCTTCTCTTGGAAGCTTGTTCACGCAAAATACACGATTAATTGCAAAATCTTTCCCAGCCAAATAAACCATTTTATAGCACGAGTTTGCTGTTACGTTAAAATCATAGGGTGATATGCCTACAGTAACCAAAAGCTACGTACTAATTACAGCAGCTGTCCGGTGAATTGTTAAGCTTACCTCAAGACTCGAAGTTTATCACCTCATACCGAACTAGCAAGCCACCCCCCTGAAATAAGCTTTTTGTCTGAACACAGCCTTTAATTGGGAAGAAAGTGAGCTTCTGCAGATTGAGAGAGTTACTTCAATTATGTCGGGAGAGAATAAAATTATGTATGTTGCTTGATACTGCTTTCCTGTTAACTTTCCTGTACCAAACAATATGAAAATTTGTTTAATTTTTTTGTTCTGGCCTATTTCAATATATTCAATGACACCTTTCGTTAAAAAAAAGGTTGCTACATTGAATATTGCAACAAAGTAGAAACGATATATATTCTGTGGCTGTACGCAGTGGTGTAGTGCTATCAAAATAACAAGGGGGGAGGCTTTTGTATAAAAAGTAGCAAAAAACAATAGCAAAAGTAGAAATTTGCCAATTTTCGGCATTCAGAAGCCTGAGCCCCCTAGCACTACACACCTTGCTGTACGTACATTGAATCGAGCATTATATGACATGATATGACAGACCGGTAAAACAGCAGTCTTCACATGACTGTTATTTTCATTAAAATACTTCTTGGACTTCGATGCTCAGAGCAAATCAAATCAGTGGTATTTAATACGTGTAAACACAGCCTTGTGCTCATTATCATTGTTTCGAAGTTCCTTGGAAGTTGTAAATTTCGTTGCCCGTGACGTTAGACGTGTTTTTTTCACAATCTTCTTGCTCGTATACCATTATCTCAGCAATTTAATACTTATCCTTCCACTCTTGTTCCTGGTCATTTGCTGTATCTAAAGTGGTAACCCAATTTAAAAATTTCTACATGCAGATAGATTAGATCTAATCAAATTTTGTTAATTAATCAAGATCATTTTTAGCTAGACATTCTTTGTATAGAAAAGTGAAGTAGTAGAACATACATAGTTTTATGTGTCGAGCCGTGCCTGAGCCGCGCCGGTTGATTCATATAAAACTAATTTACCGCTCGGTTCCACATGGTATCCCTGATTCGAAGCATTAGCCTACGGTTCCTCGCCCGGTACCGCATACGGCCAAGCTCGACTTACAGGGAGGTCCTTATAGAATTAAATCTTGTGCCGTTCCGTTTGCGTAACATACGCTTGCGTAACATCGCGTTAACATAAGATGACACAAATTGGCTGACAATAACAATCAGCTTCAAACTACGAAATCTCCTTTTTACAAAAGGATTTTGCCCGCCACCCGCTGCAAACATTTTGGGGCGGCATCCTTAGTTACAAAACATAAAATTCAGCCCTTCTAATCGAGCTCAAATCATTCTTGCATTTCAGACGAAATGTCGCTCATCACTAACGTTTCTGATATTTCATATTCTTGTGGTATTTTAACATTCTCTCAAATCTTCAATTATCCTGTACAGTTCTCTTTGAAAGATTTCAATAAACCTACCCTATCGTTTTCTGAAGATTTTTAATCCATTTCCAACACGAACAAGATTACAAGCTCTCGAGTTGGCCTGTACAAAAGCGAATCATTGGATTAAAGTTTTATGGTTATCAAAACATCGAATTCAATTTCTCGATTTGCTAATTTCATTGTACATTGTCGTAAATATAGGATGACTTAAGCATTTAATAAATGAATTTGCGATGGTTATGATAGCTTCCTGTACTTCCATTAAGTAATGTGCCATGTCCTAGGACTGACTACTGCATGGTCAGAATGAGTCAGCAAAATAGAACCGGGCGTCAACGACCAAAGCCAATGGGAACGTGTGCAATGGATATGGGCAATTATAGCGAGGGGTTGGTAGACTTGTTCAAGTCTCCCTCCTTGAACAACTCTCCCTTTGTTTGTATTGTATTGTATTGTATTGCAGATTATTTAATGTTAGCTTTTACAATAGTAAATATACACTAATTAAGACTAATATGAAGCAATTCCAAGGATTGCATAAGACAGTTCATTAAACCAAGTTTTGATCAACTTCTTAAATTGTCTGGTGCTTGTGCTATTCCAGATTTTAGGCCCTTGAAAACTTAATGATCTGATACCATTATTGGTAGTTCTGGCTTTTGGAATGTCAAGGGGGTTTTTGAGTCGAAGGTTAAAACATGGTGTTTTGGGTACAAAATAGTCTTTCATGGAAACAGGATTAAGGTTGTTAGGTGTTTTATAAACTTCGAGCGCTAAAATTCTAACTGATTGGACATGTATGGTGATTTCTTTTGAGTTGGCAAGTAAGTCTTTGTACGAAGTTGTGACTTATGCCAGCTACGCTCGCTCCTTCAGAGAGACTTCAGCAATCCCGCGAGCAATCCCATCGCATCGCTGCCATAGGTCAAGACCATGGGGATAGACGCTTTATCGCAAAAATGCCAATAGCTAAGAAATGTTATGAAATGGCACTATGGCACTAAAACAGTTAATGAATGGCCTACACTGTTTCCTTTATAAATTTGCGAATGCAATTTTCATGGCATTTTGGCAGCTGCTTACAGTGCAGATGATACTATCAATATTATTATTTAAAGTGGGCTGCTATAAATATAGCTTATTATTAGGTAATAAAGGCCTACTTAAAACTAAAGCTAACAAATTAAATTCGCGATTAAATGAATAAAAGGAAAAAGATCTAAAAATATATATAAACATTTACATGCATTCTTTGTACAGTTTATTACAACATGTTCGATTTTTTTAATCAATGATGCTTTTTTGCAATCAATGATGCCCACTTATGCCAAGTAGCTAAAGTTATATTGGGTTTATTTCTCAACCGCTTTGTCTTAGGGTCTTCAATACCTATCGCAAACAGAAGGATGGGACTCGTTTGCAACTATTTCTCATTCATATGTTATGTTTGCAAAGCATTTATTAAAGATTTCAGCTGATAGATTGAGCTACTTGAACTTTGTCAGTGAAAATTGGCTTAATAGGGCCGATGGTGCGACTGCTTCCCAGCACCCTTTGCCAAACCGCCTTTGATTATTACTGTTAGAGTCATAGGGCTATGAACTCAAACTAAAATTTTGTTTATTGGATACTAGTCCATTCGTGTTCTTCTTCGATTCTGGGTCCATCTTTAAGTCTAAGCTCAAATGATAGTTTAGGAAATTATAAACAGCTAAATCTTCCTACTTCTGGCAGCAAATTTTTGAATAGGTAAGGAATTTTGAATAAAGCTTTTTGACCTTGCATAGGGTTCTTTTTACAATTTAAAGCCGATTCCATGCAGGGAAGGCCATTGCAGAATTATCTGTTTTATGTCAGTAGATTTAAAATTACGTTCTTTTACTTACAGAAATGGCAGAAGGCCTATTGGATGAAAACAAGAACACACCAAGTTGTGAGAAAGACGAAGAACGAAACGAGGAAGAATTCTCCTTACGTTGTGGATACAGATCTTGGAGACCGGATTTTTTGCAAAGATTCGTGAGTCCAAAATGGTTCATCTGCGCATTGTCCTTGTTTTCTGTGACGCAAGGTAAGAGCTATAAATCACATCAAGGCTTTAAACTCTAATGATTGTCAGGACCAAAATCATTTTTAAGAGCCCCCCGAGTTGCGCCGGGACCTCAACTGTGGTGACGGAACCTTAAAAAATGGGTTTCAGTTTTTGATGACCATGATTTGAAATTCATTGTCATAATTTGAATTAATCATTTTTAGCAGTAAGCTTGTTTTTATCAAATGTAGCAAATGTTTTTCCCTCTACGATGCCTTCTAAGAGACCCCCGAGGCATATTTGCTGAAAGTCCTTCATAGATTTTGAGGCATTGGTTATCTTAGGTAATTTAGTGGTCACAAACATGAAGAGGATAGAGGAATGTTCTACATTTTCGATCATTTTTGAGCTGCAACTCAGAAACTTTACATTGGCTTTAAAAAAAAAGGGGCTCCTGTTTCTGACTGGCCTATTTCGATCCACAACTTAGTATATATATTTCCTGGCTTGCAATTTTCGACCAATGTCTAAGTTTCGCAACAAAATCAAGATATTGTTACATATCTTCATCTCATTGGCTCTCTTGAGAAACACACAGATACCTAACAGGCGTTAACAATATAAATCTTATTATTATCTGTTCTATCAATACTTCACTTGACAGTGACTTCACCTTATAGTGCTATACTTCAAGAGAAGTATATTTCAATTCTTCTTGATTAAATTTCATGCTAACAAGCCAATCATATTGCTGGCATTTCACGAATATTCTGAGTTCTTGTCTCCTTCTATATTAAATTGTTGCTTAACTTTTACTTATTCCGCAGTACTCGTTTCTTGTAGTGAATTTTTTAGCTAAAATGAGTTGATTTCGCATAACACTGTTTCGTTCTGTCTGGTGCGAAGAGATCGGACGTATGGAATTTCTGATTCGATTTATCATTCTTTAAGGGATCCTTGTAAATGGTCTGACTGGCGTGACAATCCCAGATATTGAAAAGGAATTTGGATTTTCAAGCAGCAGTGCTGGCATCATTCTTGCTTCAAACGACATCGCTGGGATTATTCTCGTACCCTTAGTCAGTTTCTGGGGCACCCATGGCAGAAAACCTAAGTGGATTGGCTTTGGTGGTATTGCTACAGGTAGTGTTTTAAAAATCATTAAGTCTAAATCTACAATTACGCTTCGGTTCTTTTCGGCGCACACATGAGCATTGCCTTTGGCTTAGCGTTAACTCATTTCTACTTTGGCAAAGGCAAAAAGACTGTTTTGATACACATTCATATCCAAATCTGACGCAGGATTTACATGAAATAAGTCCTAATGGAAGTGACCCAAAAATATGAACGAGTGGATCATATATCACCCAACGCAGAGTACCTGCGGCCATACAGAGCGACTGCCAATGTTTGATGTCTTCTTATCGATTACTTCTTAGCTTCTATTCTTATCAGACATGAAAGATTCAATAAGTGAATACTTGACAAGAATGTTCTATAATACCTATTGTCAAATTCCTTATCAGAAGATGCTTGCGTTCGTCTTGTTTTTGCGCTGCAAAGAAATAAAAACTTTATAGCGGATCAAACAAAACTTTGTTGTCATTTACTAGAGAAAAAAAATCTGACATGAACAAAGTCAAATGGCATTAATTCTACTGAAGAGTATCATAAAAAAAGTTTACTTCAGTCTTTCCACTATTTTATGTTATTCTTATATTTTGCTGCACGATATTTGGTATTTGACTGTTTACAAATTTGCAATAAATAAGAAAACAGTTTTATAACGAGCATCATTTTCTATATTTCGTTAGATATACATTAAAGTTTTCTTAAAGATGATAACAAAATACTTCATAATATGTTTCATATTTCTTATTCACTTTTTGCAAAGAAAACCTTTCAACTTTACATACAAAACGGACGAAAAGTAATGATAAGATATTTTTTCGTTCTTTCGTGCTATTTTCAAGAAATAGATTATCAGAATATAAGGGAAGTGGCAATTGCTGATCTTCCAGGGCGTCTTCCTTTAATGTTTTCAGTTCATTTCAAATTGGCTTAAAATAGGGAGCTTCTTAATATTAATAGGAATTCCATTCCAAGCACTGTTGTGTGAGCCGAATCTTTTCATTTAATGTTCCAAATTGTACCGAGGAATCTCTATACTTCGTGAAAATCATGCGCTATATCTTGCGTATAATTTGAACCACCGATTGAAATTGAAACTATTCTATACAAGTTTCTTTAATATGACTCAATTCAATTTGTAGTCGTGCATTTGTTGTCCAGAAGAATATTGATTCAAAGAAAGTTTGAGAGCTGATAACCGACCCATAAAAAATTTTCACGCCTTTTGCAGACTAATAATCAGTGTTACATTAAACAAAAATTAGAGTTTATGCCACGGTGCTACTTTAAAAGAAATTTATTTATTTTAAAAGATCTATTTTAAAAGAAATTTTGTGAAGTCATTTGGTTTTACCTCCGTTTGCGTCATTATTCTTTTTCTGCTGAATATCGTTAAACTAGAAGACCATCCAACAGAATTTCTAAACATCATCTAATATACTAAAGATAAAAGACTCAATTTGTTATTTTAGGACTCGGTGCACTTATCTATGCTTTTCCGAAAGCACTTGCTGGCGCATACAATATCCCTGGCACAGGAGGCATTAAACCATTTTGCCTTAAAGATGGAACGGGGAACATTTGCACGACAGGCAGATACAGCTCTTCAACATTGTACCTTTTCATTCTCTGTTTGGGACAGTTTGTCATGGGTGCTGGGACAACTCCGCTGTATACACTTGGGCCTGCATACATGGACGAGAATGTCAATCCAAAGGTGTCACCAATCTACCTCGGTATTTGGTTCGCTACGACCTTTTTAGGGCCAGGACTTGGATATGCGGTGGGAGGAACCTTTCTCAGAATATTTACGGATCTAAAAGTGGTAAGCTTAACATTTTCTTTAGAGAATATCCTAGAAGTATAGTTGATTGCAACGATTGTTACAACAAAAACTGAATATAATGCTCTTTGGATTTATTGAAAAGATAATACTCAGCAACAAGCTGGCCAGCCTACTGCACTATTCTTTTCAGGCCTTCCTATCTAGCAAAGTCCAATTTCATTGCCTTTTTCATTTTAGCCAGCCGGTGCCAACATCAATCCGCGTGATCCAAGGTGGGTCGGTGCTTGGTGGATGGGATACTTTGTTTTCTCTTGGTTCCTACTTCTCAGTGGCTTGCTTCTTCTGTGCTTTCCAAAAGAGATGCCTCGTTACAAGAAGAAACGCGACCAGGCTCTTAAAGACGGCGCCCTATTACAGGCTGATGCAGAGCTTGGCAAAGGTATTTCGTATGCCATTATAAACCCCCATCTTGCGAGAAATACCCTTATTTTATGTGTTAGGATATTTAATTTCAGTGACATTACTCATATAAACAAAAATGACCACAAACCTAAGCGAAAGTGTAAAGAAATACTTAGCCTTCTTGGCCAAACAATCAATCTGGACAAAATTGACAAAAATCATTTTTTGCTTCCTTCGCAAAATCTTATGCTGACGATCTTGTTCAATACGTCTCAATACTGACTACCACCATGATTGTCCGAGTTCTGAAAATTAAGCTTTTTGAATGACGGGGCAAGCGCATTGAATTTTCTGGTTTTGGTAGTTGCTGGTTTGTGTAGACATTTCTTTTGCATTTTAAAAACCAAAACGTTCGATTTTAGGTTAAATTTCAGTAAAAGGCAGTTGTTCGTCCCTATGAGTATAGGTGGACAGAATGGTATCTACTTGGTATGTAACGTTAAAAAATCAATGGAATATTATGTTAGCGTCAAGTAATATACTGACATGCATTCATTAGCTAGGTACTTTTTTCTATTCAGACCTTCGCAGCTTCTTAACAGCAACACTTCGCTTATTGAAGAACCCAACCTTCATGTTCTCTGTTCTTGGATTGACTGTCAGAACCCTGTATGGATCCGCGATTGGCTCCTTCTTTGCCAAGATTATACTTCTAAAGTTTGGTGGAAGCACGTTTGAGATCTCAATCGCAACTGGCGTCATCCTGCTTCCTGGAATGGCGGGTAATTATGAAAACCTTCGTTGAATTGCTTTCTAGAGAAATCGTTGCTTTACATCTGCGCAAAGGGTACACTAAACTATCAAAATGGCGTGTCATAAGGAATAGTTGTAGCACTCAAAAGCAGAAACTCCGTTCTCCGATACTTCTGATTGGAAAATTCAAAACATAGTGATCAAAATTAGCATGGACAGCCAGTGAATAGTTGGTCTAGCGCTTCGATTCCTTGTGTAGTGTTTCAAAACAGTGTGTAGCATTCAAAATGCGTGTATAGCATTTAGTTTCCCTGTATATTGTTTTGTTTCAATTCAGTGTGTTTCATTTTGTTTGCGTGTGTTGCGTTTCAACTGCTGCTGTAGCGTTTCAGATCTATGAATAGCCTTTCAATTGCGACATCAGTGTTTTGATTGTTTTTGTAGCCTTTCATCCGTGTATATAACGAATTGATTGCATGTATAAGGCGCGTATAGTGTTTCAATAAAACTATTCTTTATATTCTTATGGTATATTCTTAAAATTAAGAAAATTTTCTTTAATTAAGAAAGAAAATTTCAGTTCTATAGCATATAAGGCAGAGTTTGGCTGTTGCCTAAAAACAGACCAATGGAAAGCAAATGTCTTAGCTATATCAAGTAATAGCTATATTCAGGCATACATTGGTCAGCTACGGTTGTGATTTGCGCAGATATACGGGCTTGGAGGGTCTCTGCTTTTAGGAAACAAGCTGTGGTTATCATGATTGACAAGTTGCAGAAACGACGGAACAATGTTTCCTTGCCTTTCATTTAGAGTCGCGGAAACGATGCAAGGCCGACAGAAACGGTTAAAAGTGAAGATACTTTATCAAATAATAATAAGTCACTGATTACTGGTGTCAAGCACGTTGTTTTATCACATGCGCTTGTTGTTACGGATTATGGATGTTTTAGTTAGAGTTTATTCAGAGATTTTCAAGGGACCGGAGAATTTTGTTTGACTTAGTAAAAGTTCGAATTACTCAAATTCGAATTAAACAAAGTTGCTGTAATATAATTTATTTTATGTAACCGCACATTCATTACCATAATTTTGATTGCGTAGAAATGCCACAGTAACGAAACAAGCGTTTCCACCAAAGTCTCATGCCTGGTGGTCAATTACAATTTTCTATGATTTTTTTGTAGGAGGCATTATGATTGGCTCATTCATCATGAAAAAGGTTCCAATAAAAGATTCTGCTAAAAAAGCAGCTTTCATTTGTGCCACTTTGAGTCTCTTGACCATTGGCGGTTCAGCTACCTTTATGATTCCCGGTTGCAGGACTACGGTAATGGCTGGAGCAACTACGCCTTATGCTAACAGGTACTACTTAACAATCTAAATTTTCCTTTTTCTTGGAAGAAATTTTACTTCCTGGTTTCTCCTTCCTTTGCCTCCCTCTCTGGTCCGACATCTATAAAGAATGGTAAAACCAAGAAACATTCAGTAAGATTTAACCGCACAATGTTAACAATACTAATTGCTCGGCTACATGTTTATCCATTTGGTTATACTCCTAATTTGTAAAAATTTCCAGTTTTCTTTGTCATGCTGTAATCTGTCAAATCATCCCATCCCTGCTTCAGTTTTTTGAACAAGAATAATCTCTTTCGAAAACACTTCAAATAGCTATTAACAGTAGTTCAAAGTCTCAGGAACGAAATTCTAAACAAAACTTTCCCTATGTCCAAATATCCTTTACATAGATGACTTCATTGTCAAAGAAATTATCTTTGTGTTTGCTAAAATTTTCAAAGAGTCTTATAAGCTTTCAACAAATTTACTTTCAAATTGCACCTTTCAACTTCTAAGGAAGGGCATCCTTTTCGCTTTTTAGCACTGACGTTGGTTCATTGACTGCAAAATGCAATGCTGGTTGTGCTTGTTCACGTCAGATGTATGCACCTGTTTGTGGTACTGATGGCAAATCGTATTTTTCACCATGTCACGCTGGTTGCCAGGGGGCAATAAGCAAAACGGTATGTAATGTATTAATTTAAATGAACGCTAGCTTTGAATAAATCACATATTAGAAAAGACTAGTTAGATTCAGACAAAGAACTTTCTCATCAAATTGACAAAAAAAAGGATTTTTTCATCAAATTGATTTAGCCTGCTTGATGTCCATGAAGAAGGCAGTGCTATCTAAATCCAACAGAGGGCCACCATTGGTAAAGCAATCTCTAAAAATTAAACAGTTTACTTTGAGGTTGAAGCACACAGCATCAAAGTAACAATTTTATCTTGCCAATGAATTTTCTAATCTTCATAACCTGGTTTTAAAAGTGATTAAAAGGTTGCGGCTCTCTGTTATTCTTTCGGCATAGGATACACATTTAATGATAAGAAGGGTATGATTTTGTAGCAACAGCTACGTGGTTGCCTCTTAGTGAGATTAAAGCCCAATTTTTGGTTTGCATTTGGGTTTGCATATAGAAAGCAACTTTACCCACCCCCACAAAAAGGAAGCCTATCTCTACACACATACAGCCTCCCTTTGAAAAACCACAAACATTACATTCAATAGCTGTAAACAATGTTTTAACTTTCCCACAACAATGGTGTCATGATTGCCAGCATTTCTTTTAATATTCTTGAAATGTTTTTTTACTACAGAGTTTTATTCAATGTCGTTGCATCACGGGAGCACCATTCAGACGACACAACTCAACCAATATTACTAGCATCGATATGATGAAACTTAAAGCTAAACAGTTCCAGAGTGGAATGGTCCCATTTCCGAATTCCTCTGTTTTTGTTAACGTGACCAACATGAATTCTTCAAAGTTCAATTTGAAGGCTGAAGCTAACTTCGGATTATGCGACAAGGACTGTAAAAATGCAACATTATTTATGGGACTCTGTTTCTTGTTGATACTGGTAATGTTCCTGACGGCCACACCTCAGAAGCTAATTTTGTTAAGGTAAGTAGACCATATTTCTTTTTATGCTTCATTATCTTTTGCAGAAACAATTATCTGGTATCATAGCCAGGGCTATTGTGACTGAAATTCACTAATAGGATGTATGATAGGACAACTACATGTTTAATTTAAATCCTTGATGAAGTCGAAATTTGCTAGCTGAAGGATTTTTAAGTGGGGAGGAGGAGGGTGTGGCATGTTAATAAATTTCAAAGGTGAAACCTGGCTTCATATAGTATCACTGTAATGTCTACATCACTAAACTGCGTAACAGCAATAATCAGAGACCACACTATTTATTGGTGATTGGTGGATGGTTCAGCCCCCCAAGAATAAAAAACTGCAATGAATTAGTCTGTTCCCAGGGGGCAACTCATGAGCAATGAAATATCTAAATGTTCCAGAAATTTCTTGATATGTAATTTTCTAGTTAAAAAATAATGGGGGTTGATGGTTTTCCGAGCATTGGTTTAGCAGCCAATTTAATTGATTGATTCAGCAGCAGCTAGGCTGACGAAACATTATTGAAAGCTGGACTGTTCGCGGGTTTGATAAAGATCACCACCATGATTAGAAATTTTTACCGAATTCAAGCAAAATTTTGGGGGTTATGGCCAGAACATGCATCTAAGATATTCACAACATCGAGTTAGACAGAATCAGGGAAGCAGACTCTTGGATAATCCAGATTTTATCTAAGCTGGGTAAAAGAAGTAGAAAAAAGGAAAATGATTGAAGAGCAACAAGAACAACCAACATCTTTAAAAAGTTCTGCGAAATTTTTTTCTCGAACGACCATCTAGAAAAGACTGCAGTATTCCCTTCCTTGCACCCTTGTTTGTGGCTAAAGACGACAGGTTTTGACTGGCAAAATATGTTTGAGTAACTCTCTCCCAGTAATTTTATCAAATGACGTCTCTCGTGATAACTAATTAAAAATTACCGATAAGCTAAGATAATAATCTCAACTTTTACCGACAACGCCAGCATTACCGAGAAGCAAATAACTTTGAGAAAATTTCTCAGTAACTTAAGACACTAACTAAACGTACTCCGTGAGAAATCTTCAAGTGCTGTTTTGAGTCGTTCTTTTCTATGTTCCTTTTTTTATATGTCAAACTTTGTCTAAATTTCTATGAGTATGCAGCTTGTAATGCATCTAAGTCTGCCAGTTGTACCTCGCTACTTTTCTGGTTCAGTTTACAATAGCGGAGGTGTGGTGAAGCAAACAATCTGTCTAAATGATTTGTCTGATCCAAGCACAAACAATGAGGGGGGCTGAGCCCCTCTGCTGTTTTGAAATATACTCTCAAATCTATTTGGTTAGCATCAAATTTGCCTTCCTAGAGATTGTCATGTCTTTACCAATATAACCTATTGTTAAATGAAAACATTTAATTTTAAGGCCCAAAGAAAATTATTTTTCACATTTTGAAACTTCCAGTTTAGGATCGTATCAGGGTTAGCCCTTCACCCAGTATTCTGCATGCTTACAGTGGGCCCCAAATTTTGGAAAATGTCATATATCGAAATGTTTAAGTCCAATTTTATCCACTAATCTCGAGAGTATAACGGGAAGAAAAGGCCCCTACTTAACGATACGAGTTGTCATTAAATAGCAAAATTAAAAAACTGTAAAAATTTGGGATTGGCCAGTCTGCTTCTGGTAGATGCCATATTTATTGTTCGATTTTGATCTTTTCTAGATGCGTTCCTGACAACCAGCGAGCATTTGCCCTTGGGCTACAGTTCTTATTCATGCGCAGTCTGAGTTTCATACCAGGTCCAGTCATATTTGGTGCAGTCATTGATTCACAGTGTATCTTATGGAGTAAAGACAACTGTGGAAACCGTGGAAACTGTCTGGACTACCATGTGAATTCACTCTCTAAAAACATATTCTACTTGGGAATGGTAACTGCATGTATGTATGTTTACATCAACCTTCCAAGTTTTGATATCAGGGCAGGAGCAAATCTAATGTTGTTGTATAGCTGTGACATTTGCTGGTCAGTAAAATCACATGACGAGGAAAAATGGAAAAGAATTGCCTCCTTTGTGTTTTCTGGAAACTTGTACTTTTCATCATGGTTAATTGAAGCAGGGTTGTGTCTCCTCTTCCCATAAATGGAAAATAATTGATCACTTACATTAGAGATTCATTGTAAAATCCAATTTTGGATAGAGGATTAGAGATTTAGTCTACATATACATTTTCATTAATGCCAGTTCGCACAATATGACACCATAAAGTTACAAATTTTGAAAGGCATTTAATGTAATTAACCTCAGGTGGTGAAAAGCTTCACCAAGAACAGTTTTTGCTACCAAATCTCAAATTTTATGTGTTGATATAATATACAATGAATGCATAAATAACTTAAAAACTGAAACTAGACCAAAGGTGTCCAACATGTTTTTTGGGGTAGGCACAGACAAAACCTTTCTGCACAGGCGGGCCAGTTGTTTTGAACATGAAAAATTATATGAAAATTAAACAAATAAATATACAAAGAAAGTATAAATATTAAAAGTTACATATTTTGATTGCAGAAAGTTTATAAAACTGGTAGCTTGGACATTCTCAGCTCCATTAGAGAAAAGGCCTACTTTCAGATCATCTAAGTTTGCCTATGTTTACAATGAATCTTGGTGGAAATGGCACACCAAATAGACAGCTCATGAACTAAATTTAAAAAAATTGATCGCCTTAGCACTGGCCGCAGAAAATGCCATTGCAGGCCACATTTGGCATTTGGGCTTGAACACCTTTGATCTAGACTAAGGCAGGCCTTGCCCGGAAAGGCGCTCGATCGAGCGCGCGCGCCTAGAGCGCACCCAAAAAAAGCCTTGGAGAGCGATTTATAGAGCCCCTCAAAACGTAAAAACAATATTAACACGGAGCAAAATGAATTTTTGGAATTTGTTGAATCAACTTGATCAAGCATAAACAATCTTCCCAACAGACCGCAATATCATGATTTGAGTAAGATTACCCCTTGAGAAAAACTTCAGCAAAATCAACGTTGGGTTTTCGATATCATTTTTAATCTAATAACCCTCTAATAACCATCAAGGACACAGGCCACCAAGCGTATTCTCCGGCAGATTTATTTGTTTTTCGAGCAAGCGTTAATCTTCTATTGAAGTATATATTATTTTCTGTTTTTTAACTAACTTAAAATCGCCTGTGCAAATCAGCGATCACGTTTCCGTCCAAATTATCGCATTGCTTTTCATTTTTAATTTGCTTTTGCGAGTAGTAGATGTTCTAGCATTTCTATAGAATGGATAACATGAAAAAAGGAAACAAAGTTAAATGTTCGATTTAAAGCCATGCGTATTGATGAAGCAATATGTGAAGCTAAACATAACAGTAGTGATACTGACACTGATAAAAGCTCATCGCATGATGGCAAGTTACATATCTAGAGAAATCTGAACAATTTTGCGACTTTGTTTTATTATATTTCTATATTTATATTAACATAGTGTTTGTTGCATGTTTTGTTATTTCATATTATGGTGCTTTCTGGTATCACCGTTGAATTTCATATTTAACATTCTTTCGAAGCTTTCGATATGAAGCTCTCGATCTCCTAAAGCTCTCGAAGGATGCTCTCAAGGACATTTACTTAGAGGTGCGAAATAGAGCGCCTAGAGTTTCTAAGGGGCTCTTTTTATGGAGCACCTTCATTTTACTTAGAGCAAGGCCTGACTAAGGGTGTTGTGGTTAATCCTAATTTGTAGGGCCTGTGCCACGAATTTGAAAGTGGGGGGGGGGCAAGACTTCTTACCCCTTTTACCGCAGCTTTAAAACTACTTGCTTTACACAAAGTGGGGGCCCATGGCCACCTTGCCCCCTCCCCCCTCCCCCCGTCCGGTGGTGCAGGCCTTGAGGCTTCAAATTCAATTATAAATCAATCAACTGACCGCTATTGTGCAAATACAAAAGACTATGAAAATCTGTGGCTAAAAAAGTTCTTGCCAAAAACTTTGGCACATTACATATCTTAACAGCATAATCACTCAATTTCATTATTTTCTCTGTAGCAATTGGAACAGTGTTTTATTTTATGGCCTGGTATTTTTACAAGCCACTGGAGACCACTAATGAGAAGCTGCAACACAATGCTGAAGATGGTCTTCTGTTGGATGAGACAACAAAAGAGAAATCAGATGAGAATGGTGATTCCAAGGCAGTGTAAACTCTACCCCTTGAGGACAGGCTCAAAAAGATTGGATAGCCAATGTATCATAAATGCTTTGATGAATTCCTAGTTGAAAAGGATTTTTTGGCTTGCTTTGGATGAAAGATGGCCTTACATCTAACATAATTATCTAATGAAGATGGTCTTACATATAACATAACTAATAGTGATCCTTTCAGACCTTTATTATCTGTTTCACCTTTTTGTTCAAAATATCATTAAAAATAATAAATGAAGGATAAGGCAATAATGTCAAATATTATTAAGGTAATAAGATAAATAAGGAATTCATTTTACATTTAGACAGTATTAAATTTCAAATTTTGAATCTTGATTTTACTTGTTCCATCACAGAAATTGGGTATGCATTAAAATGGAATTTTAACTAATAAAGTGCCAATAAAAGTTAAAATTATTGATGTTTTTTATCATTAAAAGTTAGAATTGCTATAGATGTAATCAGTCATTCGAGAAAAAAAACACTTTTATAGAAGAAAATTTTTAGCTGTAATTTTTTATGATGTATTTGTTTTATGCTTTTAGAAACATTTGCATATATTTCAATGTAAAAATTAAATGGTTTTCACCTGCTATTTTTGTTTAAAAATTTATTTTTTATATAATCAATGATTAGTTGAATTTTATACAAAGAGCTTAGAAACCAGGGGATTTAAACTTATTCAAATTTGCAATAAAGATCTGAATTATCTACTGATAGAATATATTTTAACTAATGTTGTTATATCAGTGCTTTTTGAATGAATGCCAGCTCTGCTCAATTGTGCATCTATGTTTTATTATTCTGAATGAAATTGTCATTTATTTCCTTTCACTTGGTGAAGTTCTCTTATAATTGTACCAAAATATCTGGTTTTTATTGTCAGTGCAAGAATATTGGATATTCCGGATTTGCACTTCTACACATTTATGTATTGTATGCAGCCTGTGTCAAACCACTTTTGAAACCCCCTGGTGGAGATCTTGTTTTATCTGAAAATCCCTGAACACCCACAAAAATCACATTGTTTTCATGGCAAACTCTTACACTATTTGCAATAGTGAATTACCCCCTCCCTCAGTAAAACACAGACCAGGCAACTTTCCAGGTTCCCAGGTTTTCAAGATTTTATCCTTGTTTCTTCCGTGTCATTCGGCAGAAGTAGGGCAGAATTAGGGCAGAAGTATTCTTATAACAAAAATGATCTGCTTCATGAAAACATTTTTGTTAGGGTTTACAAAAAAACAAAAACGATTATGAAGAAGTTTCTCGTGATATTTTTTCCATGACTTTTTACAGATATGTTGTTTGAAAATTCAACAAATTCCGTGGACCTCTCTGTTTTTGGCCAAATCTCCTATCTCCAGGTTTTGAAAAATTTAGGTTTACAGGTTTGAAAGCATACAATTTTTACAAACGACTTTGTAACAAAAATTTTCTGTTATTTTTGTGTTACTAAATGTGCACTTTTCTAGACTGTGTAGGAAACAGGAGGCAGAATCCATAGCAACGCATGCACGCCTTTTGTCAAAGTAGGCCTATTTTTATAAGGATATCAAAGTCGTGTGTTAAATTACATTTTGAATTTCGCGCCATAGCAGCATTTATACATGTTTTGTCCCCCGAATACCAACACGTTATTTGTGACTATTAAATGTATCAAAAACTTAAATTTCAAATACCTTTATGTATGAAACATATCGTCAAAAGTTAGTCACCTTTTCCGCCAATGTTACTGTTAGCCATGTCCACATCCAATGGCCGTCCCAGTTCAGGAAGACTGCGAAGGACTTCACCACTAAGTAATCGCAGCGTCCCTTGTGACATCATTGTAGCCGAAAACAGGCATGATTATTAAACGGGCTAGGAATACATGTCATACCATGTATCATAACATGTGTTACCATACAATAAATTATATCATATGATGAAAATACATCATATCAAATCATATGTCATGCTATTTCACATATAATGTCATATAACGATGGCCTATCAGCAAATGGAATTAGAAGGAAGTTCTGACGATTAATTACATCAAATTATATTACATTTAATAGGAAATAACTAATAGGCTGCTCTTCTTAGGAGTTGTGCTTTATTTCTACTGAAATAGATTATCCATTCCAACCACCACGTTCGGCAACGGTACTAGGGTGGACCCGATCCGGTGCAGGGTGGACCACATAGAAACCTGCAGTAAAGCACCTTCGGGACACTGCAAAACCATAGGTACTTAAATTCACTCATCTTTATCAGCTTTTGATAAGTTTTGCTTCTTTTATGAAACAATTTAGAAAGGGCATATCTATGTATTGTTGCAGCATAACTTTCAGTGCCGAATGCCCCGCTATAGTGAAAGATCCTTTTTGTAAATTCGAATCGTTAACCTGAAATCTGGGATCTCTATTTTAATTTCTTTTGAAAGATTCTGGACAGTTTGACTTATCATTCGACTAATCAAACTATCCTTGTAGCATGCATTTTTCATCAGAATTTCGCACTGATTGTAGATTCTTAAAAGATCTTAACTTGACATGAGAAAAGCCCCCCCCCCCTCCCTCCTTCCATATCTTATCATCATACCTTAGGTGACTCTCATTACTCTTCAAGAAACTGAAGTACGTTTTGACTTGAGATAATATTTTTAGAAAAGTTTCTAGTTGATCATTGGTTGAAAAAACCAGTGGCCGAAACAGAATATTTTTCAGCTTCCTAATTGCAGAGAGACACATTTATATCAAATCTAATCTGTCTAGTTCAGGTTTTCATTGTGATTCATACCAAGTTACTTTTGCTTTGGTAACCCTACCTATCTTTATGAAGCAATAAATTTCTCTTAGCTAATTTATGATATTTTGCTGCCTTGAGCGCCCTTTAATCATAAACTCGCATTTGTCTGGTTCAAGCTTCGTTTATTCAGCCCGATTGTTTTGGCGATCTTTGAATCGTTACCAATTGATTCCCCTGGCTTCGAAGGCTTTAAGGCTTGTGTATTGGTGATTGGTCGTATACTTTACTTTTGGATCGTTTGAATTGCTTTCTATGTACCAATTTAAGCAACTCTGAGAATGAATGCAAAGAAAAACGATATTTTTCAAGGTAATTTAATTTTGTTTCTAAACTAAGCATTCACCCAGCCCTATCAAGTATCGCTATAGGAAAGAAGCTTTGATTCGTAAGGTTGATGTAATAAAAGCAGGAATGCAGAGCTCTGGACCAATTTTGCAAAACATAATGGTCCTTTTCTCAAAAGCTATACTCTTTGATAGAAAGGTACCATTGAAAAACATTTATTTGCCTGCAAACCTTGAAAAGAAATCTCCAGGATCTTGCTAATTCCTACTGCCATACTTTCAAGAATATTCTTTAAAAGAAACTTACAATCCTTCAATACTCATTTCTATCTACAATTTACGTTAAATGAGCTTGACAACTTTACACCACTGCCTTTCAGTATAAAACTAATAAATAATTTCTCAAAAACACCTTGAGACAGACCGACAGACAAGGCAAAGTCAGTATGTTTTGGCTACAAGTGACTATTAGAGACGTGTGAACCAGAGCAAATTAAGGCGGTAACAATATCAAATATCTTCTAGATTAGATGAAAGGAGAATCTTCCTTGGAAATATTCCTTAAATAAGATTTTCGTAGATTTGATAATTGCAATTTTGTAAGCAAGAATAGTTTTTGCGTCCCTGATAGGTCCAGTGTAGCCCAGGGTGCATTCCATGTCAACTGTACCATGTCATTCCATGTCAATTTGTTTAGGTCCGTCGAAAATGTAAAAACAGTTAGTAAAACTGTAAACATTATTGCGCCAGACAAAGAAAACTGATCATTAGAGAAAACTGTGGTGTGTAAGTCTTTATTTTACGTTAACTTTGTACATGGCTTCATGTTTAGCATGCCAACTAACGAAAATTTTAAGTACGCCAAAAAATTGTTCATTGGTTTGCACACCAAACGCCGGAAAAAACCTGGATGTACGCCGAAGATCTTCGGGCCTAAGTACATGGAATGCACCCTGGGGTGTAGCCAAAAGACTATTTTCCATTGAATGGAAGACAATATCATATCAATACACACGTCGTATGATGCAGGCACGCTCTTGGCAAACCTAAATAAAACGTGCGCAATTACTTGCACTATAAATCTTAAAAGGCTGTCTCCATAATCTGGATGGAAACCTCAAACTATTTACAGAAATGTAGGAAAAAAGTAATCTTTAAGTTTATTGTGATCGCATGCGATTTGAAAATTGTACCAACATGTGACTAAACGTTACTAAAAATGTTTTGTTTTATCTTATGATCATAATTGCTATATTTCCATTTAAAGAAAGCGCGAAGATAAGAGAGGGAATTACTGCCTCTGAAGCTTACAATTGACAAGCTGCAGGTTATTTTCGCAGTTGTTGCAGGTTATCTTCACAGTTGCTTTCAGCCAGGTTTTTATTCTAAAAAAGTACCTATCTAATAAATACAATTTTAAAAAATTTTCCTTTCTGTTTATTTGCCATGTGTACTTGGTAAAATAGTATTAAGATTGGTGTGAGCAGTAGGGAATGAGCCCCTTGTAAATGCTAAGAGTAGCCTACATTCGCGAGGGCCAGTCTTGTACTTTTTATAGCAACACATTACTCCAGAGGGTAAATTACTGAATGGTGAACGTGAACATCGTATTTTAGTGCATTGCTGGTTAGCTGCACAACTATGATATACAAATATACTTCTTTTGATGAAGGGGCTGTTGATATCTCTTACTCTATTTTGCACTTAAGCTAGTGGACTACGTCTTAAACGATAGTCTTTGTAATGAAATCTCAGTATCTGTTTCTAGACCCGTCAGCAATAGATCTCATTTCGGTATCATTTTACTGTACAGATTAAAGTAGCGAGAAACAAATATATTTAAGATATCAAATAATTGAACAAATAAATAGCAAAGGCTATGTTCATCATTGGATCAAGCACCAGTCTAGCTTCGAGTCTGGTGCGGGCTTCAGCGTGAACACAATTACGCCCAGTGTTTGACAGGCATAAAAAACTCGGGTTTGCTTTTACGGATACAAATAGCCAATAATTACTCAGCACCATTGCTAAGTAACATTGTTGTTATCGACTTCAAATGAGTCGACAACGAGGCTTACCGGCATAACTTTTGAGCCAATTTGCCCAGTGACTGTTTGATGATTAATCGAGCCCTCGTGAGTCGTGCATAAAGAATGTTTTCCTGGGGATCCAAGGTCCACACTTTTTTCTTTTTCCGGTATCTCTTGCGGAATTTTTATTCGTGATCGGCAAAATACTGGAAAGATGATAACGACAATTACTATTATTAAAATGCAGCTACATATGTTTTATTAATATAGGAAATAGACATATGTTTTAGATTATTTCTGTGTCAGCTTTTTTGGAGTAATCAAGTCTTATCCAATTATATTCCTCTTGCTTATTCATTACAACGGGCTCATTATCCTTTCTAAGTGTCTTAGATCTTACGCAAATACATATCTCCTACAGCAAAAATTCAAAGGTGCGGTGATTATCATGCTGAAAAAGTTGCAAATCTCATTATAAAGGCTGTGCAACAATTGCACGGCCGTTAAAATAAAGAGCAGCGAATACTGCCTTGACGTAATAGGTTAAATTTCCAAGAAAAGGTATTGTTTTCACAAACACGATTTCACTGATATTTTTCTTTTTGCTTTTAATCTACGAGACATGCACACAGTTATAATCAGCCCTGAGATAATGGACGTATGGCAAAACCATTGTGATCACGTAGGCACATTTAGATTTACGAAATAGATCAAAAAGCTAAACAGCAAAAGTTCAAAGCAAAATGAAAAACCCACAGTTTGAAAATTTTAATATTGGGCTTCAATTAGAGCTGCTTTTCTAAAACATCCTTTAGGAAATTGTTTAGCCTGCTTCATGTAATGTTTAACAGTAACTTACTGCTAAGGTAGACTGGAAGAAAGAGTAGGCCATGAAGAAGTCCGAGTACAACAATGGTGAAGATCATTTTGAAGAAGATCCGAAACACCTCTGATGATGCGAATGCAGTTGCCAACATGCCAAGAAATGTGCTGAAACCTGTTGGTGAAGAATATACCTTGTTTACATAATCTTGCTTGAATGCTTTTGGTTATCATAATAGATCATGAAAAATGTCCTAATACGCATCATAAAACGATTCTCTTTACTTTATGAATTTAATTGGACTATTCAGTGGAAAACCTGCGAATATTAAGCTGATTTTGAATACGTTTTAAAAACAAATACAAAATTACAAATAGGAATTGAGCACCAACCTCCCATAGCAACGCTTGCTCCCATGGTTCGCAAAGCATCTATAACTCTTTCTTCTGGAGTGTCAGCGGTAGATACTGTAAAAGCATGAGCAATGTGGGCACTGTAGTCGACAGAAAACCCAATTGCCATGACAATGACAATCATGGATATGGAGTTGAGAGATACTCCCCAAACATACATAACAGCTAATAGTTCGAATACGAGGCTGACGAAACCGGCAACAACCAGCAATGTAACACCAGGGTGGATTAGGTATGGTAGGGTAACAATCAGTACCGCTGCTCCAGATACCGCCAGATTTCGAACTGTGTCCCGCAAAATGACAACAAACTGCTCATAGTAGATGAAATTGAGTGTGCTCGGAAAGGCACCCAAGCAGCATAGCCCGTCAATATCAGATCTCAGAGACAACATGGCATCTCTCTTAAACGTTGAATCTGCATTTTCTTTAGTTCTGACAACAACTCGAGAGGCAATGATCTTGCTTTTAAGATTTGTAGGATCTTCAAACTTCAAATGACCTCTGTGCACCACGTACCGTGGGTCACTAAGGAACGACAGCAATCTGTTAGTGAAATTTGACCCAGCTATTGAGGTATTTGTTTCAGCTGACCAAGACAAGTAATTCTTTAGCCAATTCGAGCTGCTTTGTATGTATTTATTATTCATTGCAACTTCAGAAAGCTTAAGGTACTGTTTCTGAATCCCGGCATCGCTGTAATTTTTGTATTCGAGTACGACAATGTTGATATCAAAACCTTGAGGATACTGTTCTCCTTTTATCTGGTAAAAGTTCTTCTGATACGAGCCGTCCTTTCCAAGAGTACTCGAGTCGAAGCTTTGGTCAAGAAATGTTGTTCCATAAATTGCAATAGCTAGAATGCCAGCTCCTAAGATAACTATTACAACTCTTACTGGCGTCTTCATCAGGAATTTTCCCCAAGTGACCATAATCTACAAGAAGACAGAAATAACTTAATATGGTGCGATGGCAGTGCAGGCGAGATTCAAAATGGAAGTAGCTAACTCCAAGTTCATAGAACTCTTAGCGATCGCGTTTTATCTTATAATGTTTAGTTTTACCTTATAAAGTTATGAAATTCCTAAATCGCACTTAAAGTTAGCTTCCTATGAGTACAAAATTCTCATATTAAAAAATTGTCCAGATGCAACGAACGACAGTTGATTCCACACTATCCAATGCCTAATAAGAGAGGGACTTTATTCTCTCTTTTGGAAATTTATGGAGCATCCCTAGGTGAATATTGCAAACTTTTTCCTTTCTCGGTCCAGCCCTCGAACCGGTACGGGGCATTTGGCTCGTCGAATTCGTGTATTTAAGTCAGGTATCCAAATGAAAATAGCGAACATTCTTTCCTATAAATAGGTTTCAAACAAACATCACAGCTGAGGCCTTCAGCTTTTATCAAGCATTAAATCTGTCTCATCATCCTTTGAAAAAAATGCTAAAAAATTTTTTTGATCTCAGGTCAAGGCAAAGTCGAAAAAAATACAGCCCCGGCCACTAACTGTCAAAGCGTTATTATAGCTCAAATATGCGAAATTTCTTTATCAGAATCATAAAAATGTACTTTTAAAATAGAGGAGCGGCTCTGTTGAGCTTAGATTTTGTGATAAGGAATATTGCCGATTGCTTCTCAGATGCTAAGCTCATGCTGTGAGAATGCTATCATTAGAACAGTTACTGTTTCTGGAGTGAAATATTTGCTCTTGAATGCTCTGTTTCGATAGGTAATCCTCTCTTCAAGAGGTGAAACAACTTGCCTTATCTTTGGCGGTTTACAATTCGTGGTGGATTTTATGAAACAGGTGGAAACAACATGCTGTCAATTCACGCATATGCAAAGAAATAATCTGAAAAATGCTCGCTTTCAGCGCAAATTAGACGCTTATTGTTAATCTATAATTCTGGTCTCTGCGAGATATACCTGCTCAACACTAAAGTTCAATCATTCGAAGTAAACTGTGTCCTTCCCAACAAAATAACCTTAATAACAACCTTAAATGACGTTATGACGATTATTGCTTACAGATATATTTATGAGTAATAAAAGTGTTTCGAAACGACGAGATTGAGCTCAACAAATCGAGCCTAACACAAAATATAATCAGGTGACCCACTCATTCTCAAATAACGCACACTTGCTTTCAGATTCTGGATGTGTGAAATACATTTTTCACCATGGAAATAATTCCAGCAACAGCTTCTAGAAAATTCTAGAATTCCATTTCAAATAAGGGAAACTTATTGTGCTTATGCATATGCTTGATGCAAAAGTACAATGGTGACACAAATGGTTTTTAAAGTCGTTAGATTGGGTGTATGACTGAAAAGATTTCCATGTTTAAAGCCCTCCTAAGAAAGACAAGGACAGGTTATTTCCAGGCTTTGCCAGATGAAACACCAGTCTTCTTAAAAGCTGCGAGGCAACTTTAGAGCACAGAAGCCATAGAATTCACACGATCGATCGAAGAGGAAAAAAATATTGCAATGTCCAAAAATTTAAAAAAGCTTTATATTCATTGTTTTCTAAAGAAGAATTTAAAGTCTAAAGATATTATCCAAACGAAAGATGGGCAATTTCCTTGATTCTGGGCAAATCTTCCAGTTCATGCGAATATGAGAGTCAAAGCAATATGTTCTTATAATACCGGATTCATTTCGCATCGAATTCAATGACCCAATACGAAATGAATACTACCGCTTCTCGCGCCATACCGGATTCATTTCGAAACGGAATCGCTTAAATTCATACGGTGACGCCATAATACGCTGTATTTGATCTATTGCCGTTAAGGTATTGTGAGGCAACGTGGAATTTGGTCGTGTTGGCACTCATTGTCATGTATTTTTAGGAGACCCAAAAAGCGCCAAACTGATTTCTGAAAAGAAGCTTTCGTTCTAAACAGAGGTTCCCAAGCAAAACTTCACGAGATTTGTAAGTTATTCTGAGCGCAAAAGTGATCCGATTAGATCCAAAACGAAACCGGTATTATGTGAACCGAGCTTGAAAATTCAAGCCACAGTTAACTAGACATTGCAAATGTTTAGACACAAATTTTTACCTTAGTTGATATGTTGCTTTTTTCCATGTACCAAGGGTTTTGCTTCACTTCTTGTCCTTTACAAGGTATCACATCATACTTCCACTTTTCAACACGATTTATGTCCAACTTAATCAGCGCAAGGAAGAAGGTAATCATCAAAATAAAAACAAAAGTTATGGCCAAAGCAGCGTAATAACAGAAAAATTCAATGGCCCTGAAGTCAGTAACAGTACTTATAGCAAAGGCGATCAGGTCCGTTAGGGTTGTCATGAAAATAGAAGAACCGGCCGAGGATAGTGTTGCAACCAACCGGACGTTACCTTGCAAACCAGGCTGCCTTTGATCCAGAGTATCGACTAAGATAAACATGTCATCTATTCCTACGCCTAAGACCATGAATGGGAGGACAGCAACGATGCCAATGAATGGTGTATTTGTATACATAACTAGGCCAAACGATGACCCGATTCCAAAGAAGACAGTAGCAATTCCCCCAATGGCTAATAACACATGACCGTTCACCGGTCTTCTGATTCGTAAATTCATTACAACGCAGAATACGACCATCAGAACAAAAGCGACCACTATTAATGCCATATCGCTCAAGGCGCTTTCCGATATCGAATCATCCAAACTTCGGTATGCATAATAATATAGCTTTATATTAACTTTCTTTAAGTGTTTGGCTTCTTCTTTGAGGATATTGAGAAAGTTCTCTTCCCACTTCATAAGTTGATCGTAATTTTCATCGGTGTGATATTTCATGAAGTAAACAATACGCAACGATTCCGCTGACAAAATGCTACCATTGGATGCAAAGTTTAACTTGCCAAATATTGCAGGAAAATTCTCCTTTGCTTGTTTTCCATTAGACATTATAACATTGGGATTTTTGTATACTGCATTGATGAATGATTTTGTATCTTTAATTTTACTAGCGTTGTAGCTGAAGAGCTCCAATATATTAGGGTAGTTTGACTACATTTGGGACTTCCTAGGCAAAGAGTGCTGTAATCGGCTATACTCTTTATCCTGTTATGCAGTCTAAGTGCTTCTAGAAACAGGTTATCTTCCAACGCACCACTGCTTTTATTATTCACTAAGACAATTTCTTCAGCACGAAATTTCATGAACTGAAAATATTTAGAAGCTTTCTCAAGATCTTCAATCGATCGGCTATTCTTCGGGATGAATAACTTGTCACTGCGTTTTTCCATTTTGTATTTGTGTAGGCCAGACGCTAGGGACGCCACAATCAGAAAGGACAAAACTAAAGTAAGATACGGTCTCTTTCCTACAGCTTCTGCAATTTTCTGAAAAATCAGTTCGAGACCGTCGTGAATATGTAAGCAAAATCGAACCCATTTTTTCCAAACCTTACTTCCAAGTGACCTACAATGAGAATAGATCATATTTACAAAATTTTTCGAGGCGAAATGAATGAACCAAAGTATTCGGAAAATGGTATGGTATGGTATGGTATGGTATGGTATGGTATGGTATGGTATGGTATGGTATGGTATGGTATGGTATGGTATGGTATGGTATGGTATGGTATGGTATGGTATGTAATGGTATGGAATGGTATGGTTGGTAATGTATGATATTGGTATGGTATGGTTATGTAGGTATGGTATGGTATGGTATGGTATGGTATGGTATGGTATGGTATGGTATGGTATGGTATGGTATGGTATGGTATGGTATGGTATGGTATGGTATGGTATGGTATGGAATGGTATGGTAGGGTATGGTATGGTATGGTATGGTATGGTATGATAAACAAGAGTGTTTTTTCTTCTTAAGCTCCAACACTCTATTTATATTTTCAGATTAGCAAATGAAAGCATAATCCCATGCTACAGGCGCACTTAACCACTCTCGAGCATGAGAATTTTTGAGAAATTAATTGGATTTATTCAAATTATCTATAAGCTGGTTTATCTGTTATTTCTCCAAAATTGCACTTCGAGCTGAGCATTAAGTGATTGCATAAAGTCCAAATCAATTATAGCTAAAAGTTACAAAAGGAAATTTAGTGAAGTATCAAGAATGGAGGGTTGGGAAAAATTAGCATATAGAAAGACTAGCTGAAAGATTCTAGCCCTTTCCAAAACCTTCCAATTTAGTGCTAAAACATAATTCCGAGTTGTTGAAAATCATAGTAAAAAATTGGGCCTGTTAGAAATGAGGAGAAGATAACAATCCAACGTGTGAGTAAATGTGTAAAATAAAAATATTATATGACTTTATAAGTTCTTATGAATAGAAAAGAATATTTGACAGAATAAAGAAATGGTTAAATTATTAAAGCAATATGGATATTATCATTCCTAAACTGTAACTCATCTGAAAGTAAATGCAGCAAAATCAACAATTGATTCTTCTATTTCATGCATTTAATCTTTGTCCTTTTTAAGTTGATTGAATACAATACACAACTTATTGTCTTTGTTGTATTGTTTAAAAAAAACCTTTGACAACAATGTTAAAATCTTTCATGAATACAATCCTTGAAATAAAGTCACTAGAAGACTGTTTTGTTTGTTTTTTTAGGCTGTTCTAAGAACCTGCACGTTTTTTGTATATAAGAAACTGGTTTATAAGAAAATACTACTAGAATACCCAAAAACTTTACTACTAGGCTCAAGAATAATTAAGAAGCAGTAAATTCCCACTTTGATTTTCAAAACGTTTTTAGTTTGTTGATATTTCTTTGGAAAAGATTGCACTCTGATCTCCGTGGGTTTTGACCATCTGTGTTTTCACTCTTCAAAAAATGCTCAACTTCAAAAATAAGGCAATATTAGGTTCCGAAAGAAGAAACCAACTAAGAAACAATTTCTTCTAAAACACTAAAATTTGGTTGCCAAATTAAGAAACTTTCAGTACTTAGTGCTGATACAAATTTCTTTTAAAATGAAAAACGTGTATTGGATTTCCAGGCAAATTTAGATTCTCTTGTATATTTTTAAGACTTCTTTCCGAACATTGGCCTTTTTTAGTGAAAAAGTTTGTAAATGACCGGAAGAGAGACCATTTGAGGAATATCTACATCATAATTTTTGTGTTGATATGCAATGAAGTACCTACCTCTCTACCTCCGCGTCTTTTTCTTGGATAAGCGACATGATCTACCAGAAAACCACAGCAAAATAAAACAAACCAGATATCGTATAGGCATCATTTGACTGGCGTAGCATTATGGCTGGAATCCTGTTAAGAAAATAGAAGAAATAATTACTAGCAGGTAAAGTTCTGAAGTTTAAACATGCCTATAATATCAATACAATAGAAAGTAAATACAATTGTTCAGGTATAAAAGATGATGGTTTGCTTTCTGTTGGCATTGGTTACTGTTAAACGGGTCGACCATGGGATGAATACGTTATTGAGCAATCAAAAGGAAGCGAAAAAAATTGTGCTTTCGATTCCCTTCCTGAAAGCTCGAATTCCCTTAAAATGTACAACAACAGACCAAAATCACAAGGACAGAACAAGTATTGTGGTTGATAAACCTCTGTGTGAAATGTTTAGCATCAGTAAAGACTTCTTAACAACCAGCCATAACAATCAGCCAAGGTATTTTCCAGATCCAAAATATCTTTCACTGGCAAAGATATTCTCTTTTTCTAACTAAGCGAGTCTATGTACAAGATTAGAAACACCACCGATGCTTCAACCAAACAGAATAACAGTCATCGCACTAGAGAATGTAAAGAAAATTCCCATCCGACACTTTTGGCAGTACCAGAAAGGCATTACAGGTTCTGTTTGCCAGCAAAGATGCATTTATCAATAGTATTTGCTTTTAGACAGAACAAGAAGCAACACTTTTCATGCTTGCTTAAATGTGAAACCTTGGCAACCAACAGAGCAGACACATTTACAACATCATTTGCAGGTGCTGAACTTCGCAGGAAAAGATCCCGACTAGTAATACCTAGGAAATACTTTCAAAGCACAACGAAAGTCTTAAATGAATCTGCGCAGTCGGTAATCGTACATCACAAGATCATTACTTCTCTTTAAATGCATCAGAGACCCTAATCGGTATCTTTACTCCAAAGCACAAAGTCATCCGTTGATGAGCAAACAATATGGTAGAAGGCCTTACGCACAGGGCGCTGGTGTTTATGCAACACCAACGACTGAGCCGTTCTTTATTGCACCGAGCATAAGACACCGACAAAGAAGCAGGCAAAAGTTTCAATTAAAAATTGAGATGAAGCTTGACCTGGCAAAAAGTGAATAGATGGAATAATCTTATTAAATAAATTACTGATATGTCTATGTCAAATGTTATATTCGAGTACACATTTCCTACTGCAATCCTGCCTAAAAATTCATCGATTAAATGTTTAGCATAAAAAATTGATTCTTTAGCAAATCACGACATGATGGCTAAAGTTTTCCTATAAAATTCATGAAATGCTGGTTTTTATTACGTTGATCATTAAGGGTAATGTAGATAAAGTCACTCCTGGTTCATCTAATTTACAAATTTCATCCACACTATTTTGAAATTCAAATAAGCCTAGCGAAATTATTTGTTGTGTATTCTAAAAGAACTTTCCTTCCAAATCTATTTTAGTTGAAAACCGGAATATTGATTAAAAGATAAAAGGTTCACAGCTAGTTTGGAATCAAAACAACTTAAGAAAGAAACGTAAGCTTGACATTTTTTTAATAAGCGTTCAGATCCACAATATTTGAAGATAGCACAGAAAAGCTGAAATATAGCTTACTCGAGAACTTTTTGTCCTCAGAGTATACACTTCAGATAATGACTAGGGGCTAGAATGTCCGGATGTGGATCGAAAGTAACGTGAAAGAAAGAACGGCGTGTTTGGCTCCTTGCTCTTAACCATTCGGCGATCACTAACCTCTCGTGTACGCCTTGGCAAGCACGGTCATCTTTTCATTTCGGTGATTTGGGATCTGTCTACGTGCAAACAAAAGATCCCGACTTGTGTAGACCGAAAGAGTTTGCTCTCACTCTAAGACTCTTCAGCAAGGTGAGAGGTAAGTGGCGGTCGATTGGTCAAAAACAAGGCACCAATCAAACTTGCTATCTTCCTTTTGCGTTACTTTTGAGCTGCAACTGGGTTTGGATTTCTGCTACCACTTCAGTCATTATCGAAGTTTATACCCTGGAAAATTTGACCAAAAGTATCAAATATGAAAGTTTTCTACATCCTTACATTCATTGATTCTTTTCTGTCATTCAGTAATTTCTGGCAAGAAGCATTTCAAATTGAATTATAGGTATACACTGGTTTACTTCCTCTTTGTTTATGCTAAATAAGCTGACGAAATTGGTCTTCGAGTTGCTAGCTATAAGCAGTGGGTCTATCTGTGGCGGTCAACCGGTTAGAGGCGGGTCCATATTACAATTAACATATAATCAATTAACAGCACGTTTAGAAAACTGATACCCAACTTATGTTAGAAGCAGCAATAAGCTACTACAAAAATGATGAGAACAAAAAAGGATTTTAATCGTTTTGCCTCAATTATGAGTACAGCTTGACATGCAAATGACGCTGCTTGAGAAATCTAAGACTTCCAAAACCAGAGACGCAAAATACAGTCACAAATGACAATTCTATTCTTGGCACTTAATCGTTCTAATGACTGACTCTAGAAGAACAGTTTATCAATTGAAGTATTAAAGGAACGACCAAGCTTGATAAAATAACTCCGAATGCGCATTCAAAAACTTGTTAAAAGAAATGTATTTCAGCTTTTCTTGAATATGTCGATCTCCGTGGATAGTCTATAAGAGATTTTATTCCGTGGCCGAAGTCTCATCATTCTGAATGATTTATTGGCGAATAAATCTCACTTTACTTTAGAGATATCTAGGGTCATATACACATTTTTGTTTAGCAACGTGATCATAAATACTTGAACGTTTGGCGTTTATGTTTGCAGAAATTGAACCTTATCTTTCGTTAAAGGTTTAGGCTGCATTGAGGCAGAGGATTTATCGGCATGGAGCTGCTAGCATGAGACGATTTTTTTCATGATTTCGTTTTAATCATGTTTTATGATAAATGCCACATGAGCAAAGATGGTTCTTGCCCCATAAAGCACTGCAATTAAGACTTATGTACCAGACGAAAACAACATCCATTAGCAAAATTTGTGTCTGCCACTGGCCATATCTCAGGCAATTTGCGGCAGTTTCAAATTACATCACAGAATTGGAGACATTTTGCCGTTTTCTTTCTCCGCGTTTTGGAAGATTAAAAAAAAATTGCGAAAAAGAAATGTCGTTTTAGGTTTGCCATTCTATTTGCAATCTAACCGCTTGTCCTAATATTCCCACATTGCCATTAAGCTGGTCAAGAATTTCGTTTTTCATATCTGATACATTTGTAATAGTTGCAACGGGTTTTTTTCTAAATTATGAAATTTTCAAAGAGTTGCCCCGCAGTTGTTTTTGAAGATTCAGGGTTTAGTTTCTTTTAATTATAATCTAAATCTTGAAAGAGCAAAAATGCAAGATTTCAGCATCAAATAATCAATCATAGCATATACTTTAATTGGAATACAATGTCTGCATGGTGTTTATTACTAAGAAATAAATGTACTTCTCTGCTGGATCTAAGTTCGAAGAAGGCACGCTCTCTTCCTTACAGATGCGTCAATAAGTCTCTCTCATAAATCATCTGCCTTCCAGAAACAGCACTTCAAACCGACAAGCATAATCAAAACTTTCCTGTTTAACTTGACTTTACAAAACTAAGCTTAAATTTGACGTGTTTTGGTTTCATTTTTGGCTTTACTAATCCAAACCTGCCTAATTGCCAACAAAACTTAATTCAGCTGCACCTGCCAGTAACGTGGAGACTTTCTCGCTTTCTAATGTTTTACTGTACATGGCATTGATTTTCTCTTGTTTAAGAGCTGGTTGAATTACTGCTATTAGACACTTTGAGGTGTGGAATCTTTCACATCGCCAATATTCCAAGTTGAAGTACATAAGTAATTGATAGGAGGGATATCACTCAGTCGCATCGAGATCACATCTCACTAGCTATAATGTTGTTCTATTATCATCATTATTATGATAATATCTTATTGCTGCTAACAGTTGCTTCGATCAACTCACTAGCCAGCCATTGCTTAAGATATGAACATGCCTTCTTTCGAGGATTATCACAAGACAGAGTGAGGTAACATTCTGAGAATAAATTCAAAAGCCACAATGTAGACAATACTGAAGAGCATGAAAGCTGGCTATCTTTGTTATAAACGCAGCTCAAAAGTGAACATGAAGATAGTGGCAAAATGATCTTCTACTGTTCTCAAAATTTTAATAACACATGATTATTAAAAGGAGATGTACAGATGCAAAGATGTGTCTTATTCACAGAGAATGTTGATTGTTAACATCATCTGTTTTATTTTTCTTCATGAAAGGGAAAAATTGTATACAGCATTTACTGCTTTTCCTGAAAGCACCTCTTCAGTGATGAGCCGAAATGGTTGTGGGAACCACATCCAAAAGTTTTCTTTCCGGGGCAAGCTCGAGCCCATAGGCGACCGTCTAGTTTGCATTTGCGTAGAATTGACCCTGTGTTTGAGACAGTAGTTGATTTGATTTTTGCTTTGTGGATCTCTGTGAAGAAGACGGTCCTCTCCGTCTTTCCTATGCAGAGGTTCATAAAAACAAACCAAAACAACGCCTGCAGCTTCAAGCAAAAAATAGACTTGGAGCAGGTCTAGCACCTGCGTTGTGAAGAATTCTTGAATTATAAGCCAGAAATAATTTGAATAAAAATGTGAACGCAATGTAAAGGGATCTTTTGTTTACGAGTTTCCTCTAAAATTCAACAGAATTATTACTGTAATCCCTTTACCCCTATATAGGTTGTAGTTGTAATGTTACGTTTAATAAATGCCTTATTGAAATTTGTTGCACAACAGTGAAGCCCGGAAACTAAACTGAACAACATTAATAGGAGTGTTAGAGCGAGTGCTAGTGACCATTAAATTACAATTTCAAACATTAATAAAGACACTACTAAGTAGAGGTCGGCATTAAACGTTGCAGTGTCGATTAAATTTGATCAGTCGTAAAACTACGAGAAATAAAAGAAAGCTGGTTGCTTAATCATTTCTATTAGAATTTACAGATTTGGAAAATGTATGGCTAAGACTAAGAAAAATTATACTTGTCTAAATGAAAAAAGACAGCAAAGTGGTAGTAGATTTGGTGTGTCCTGTATACAAAGCAAAAGGTTTGGGTGTGATTACCAAATAGAGCTGTAGAGATTTCTCAGAAAAGAGAGAATTAGAAAGGAAGAAGAATGTCTCCTGATATTTGATAATCAAATAGAATACTAAGAGTCGTGTTTGTGATCAAGGTAAAGGAAATTCTAAAGGCGTTGGTATCTCAAGAAAAAACTTGTGTAGTCTAGTAAAGTTTTGAACAGAAAATTAATGTAGTTTAAGAGCTCATAAGAGTTTTATAGGTAATTTGCATAAAAAGGAGACATTGAACGATCATTTCGGCAACTCTCGCAAAGAATTAATCAGTCATATATGAGTAACCATTAAAATGGCTTTGAAAAAAGCAGAAATTTCACATTAAAGTTTTTAAGTAGTATGTTATGAAATGCTTGCTTTTTTCAAAGCCACTTTGAAGCTCTGTACCGACAAAAAATTGTTCATAGGTGACCATGTTTAATGCATGATTGTTTAAAATTTTGGAATTGTAAAGTTCTTCCTATTTGTAATCTGATTCCTAAAAAGAGTCAGCCAGATTGGCTAAGACTCTCATGTTTGAAATCATCAATTTAAGAAAAACTTTTATTTACAAATAAACGGAAGATTCAGTACAAAATACCACTGAATATATGAAAAGAATCTTTAATTTTGCATGTGCTTACTTTTTCGAATGACAGGCGCAATACAATAGCATAGGCTACGTATTTGAAAATGCAGGGGGTTGGGGGGCCAAGGCTAGCAAAAGTAGGGAGGCAAGGCTTTCTTAATGCAAGAGACAGTCATAAAGAAAGGTGACTGATGCAATGCAATGAAGTGGCCATAGGAAGGGGACATGGCAGGGTGATTGCCTTCATTTTTCGACTGTGTACGATTCATCATCAATATTTGCATGCCAGCATTGCCAAGCATACTTTCGAGAGACTAGAGTGCAAAATCGAAGAAACTTACAGATAATCCTCGCAAACAAGGACTATCTGCTACTTCCTCATTTTCTCACAGCTAAGGCGAGGTAATGATTTGGAAATTGCGCTGTCAATCGGTTCCATTCTCAGGCCAATTATCAAAACCTCCAGGAAAAGTCATTCAAGAAGTGGCTTCATAGTCTTTCCTATTACACGTGTATTTTTTCTACCGTAAACTTAAGCACGAAGTTGATTGTAAAACTGATCAAAGAAGGCGAGTTAAAGCCATCCCACAAATGTATCATTTAATATGCATGGGCCTAATAGTTTAATACACCGTTTATTATTAAAGGAATATGAAGTTAGATCTTTATGAATATTTTGAAAGTATTCAAACAGGAAAATGAAACGAATGAGTGAAACGAGTATGGTTTTAATAACATCTTTTTCAAGTGTCACAACAAGAAAGAATGGGCTTAAGTGGGTATATGACGACTTGCATTCATACACACATGTTTTTTGCAGCTGAGTTTAAAATTTGATGAAGGTCTTGATAAATTTTGATTCGTGCTTTAAGATTTGTTAATCATTTCTTTAACGGAAATTGCTGGTTCACGGAAATCATTTCTTCAAGAGCTGGTTACCAAGGTCATGTAACATTTGAATAATGATAGCAGTTGCTTCAGATTAACAACGAATGAATTTAAGCCTTCTATGATCAGTAGATTATTTAAATGTCTGTTGATCTGCGTAATGGGATGAAGCAAACGTTTGAGGTCAATCATATGCCGTAGAATGAACTGCCCGGAAAGCTTTTAAGGACTGGAATACAGGAGCAAGGAAAAAATTAATCAATACCATATTGTGGTGTAATGTTGCTTGGTGTGTTGAGTTGAGTTGAGTTGTGTTGTGTTGTGTTGTGTTGTGTTGTGTTGTGTTGTGTTGGGTTATGTTGTGGTGTTGTGTGGTGTGGAGTGGTGTGGTGTGGTGTGGTTTGGTGTTGTGTGGTGTGGTGGTGTGGTGTGGTGTGGTGCGGTGTGGTGTGGTGCGGTATGGTGTGGTGCGGTGTTGTGTAGAATGGTTTGGTAGGGGGGTGTGGCTCTGTTTGGTGTGATGCGACGGTGTGTTGTGTTGTGTTGTGTTGTGTTGTAATGTGTTGTGTTGTGTTGTGTTGTGTTGTGTTGTGTTGTGTTGTGTTGTGTTGTGTTGTGGTGTGGTGTAGTGTGGAGTGGTGTGGTGTGGTGTTGTGTTGTGTTGTGTTGTGTTGTGGTGTGGTGTGGTGTGGTTTGGTGTTGTGTGGTGTGGTGTGGTGTGGTGTGGTGTGGCGTGGTGTGGAGTGTTGCGGAGTGGTGTGGCGTGGTGTGATGTGATGTGGTGTGGTTTTGCATCGTATGGATTGGTGTCATATTTTTTGGTGTGGTTTATTTTCGTGTTGTAGCTCTAGTACGGTTTTTTCGTTGGCAAGTTGATATGCCATTGCTTGAAACAACATTCACAAGAAAACATTTGCCTTACCATTCGGTAATTTCTGCGGATTTATGTTTGATTTCTTATTTTAGTCACTCCACACTAAAGACCAAACACGACCTAACGGAAGTAACGTTAATTTTACTTAGGCCCTGCGGTCTGGCACGAAAAGACCGGCGTTGCGTTTGTAACGGGCAATTGATATAGCCCTCTGGGAAAGAAAATTTATTATAGTTGTTTGAATTAGTCGAAGAATAGTCAGTTTTTCAAAGAGGCTCCTGAAAGATTTTTCTTGTTAAACTCACACTGCAAGCGTCAGATTCATTTCATTAGCCAAAATGACTTTAAAATAACAAGATTTCAAATTTGAACTTTATTTTCTTGTGAAAACTGAGGAAAAGGCGATTGATTTTGGTCAGCTGTATAGAAGGCTTTCTTTATTGCAAATCCCAAAGGTTCTAAAGTTACTTAAAGGCATCTGCCGTTATTTAAAAGGAGGCCAACACAAGTTTTGATGTGCTAAACTCGTTATTTTAGCAAAGTCACTCCCGACTTCATCAAGCTTAACAGCCTCAACACTTATTTACCTCTTCTTCAAACAAGAGATGGCAATAAAGTTTTTAGGACTTGGGAATTTTCCAAGTAAAATTCAGAAACATGT